GATAGGAGAACAGGAATATCGGTAGTAAACGGGGAAGAGTCCGGAATGGCCGTGCCGTATTTCGTCGGATTCTTTAAATTCAAAGTAGTCTATAATTGTCTATTTGTTGGGTTGTATTAAAAATCCGCCCCATTGTATTTTTTATAAAGTATAACTCCGTGAGAACGTTTAATTCGATTTATTACACCATTAAATTTAGGTAATTTCGTGGTTATACAATTTAAACGGTAGCTTTACTCGGACGTACAGTACTCGAATATTTTGACGCAATTGTCTTTCCTGGATAATAAATTTCCTAATTGTAAGCAAAAATGGACTCGGGCAAACGGATATTTTGTTTTATTTACACCGATTTGTACTCGATTTAATGCCAAAATATCGCGACCGGTATTCAATTCTGCCCGCAAAGCACTAAAGTTACCGCTAAGACGGGTCGTAGCTCCGTAGTCGGTACACAATTCGACCGACGCTGCAGACTTAATTAAATGGTTTGCCGCTGTGACGTTTTGTTAGACTGAGCCGAAAATAATATTTCCACCCTCGGTTTAACGCTTAGAATTAAGCAAATCTCGTACATTAGTAGATAAATAAATTACAATTAAAATTTGGTGGCGTTTCCCGCAGCACGGCACGAGTCACTGGGACACCTAATTGTCTACTCGCACAAGCAGACACCTAATTGTCTACTCGTATAATAATAATACTGTAATAGTATTTTCTTTTGGTCAAGTATCCGAATATCCCAGACGGACCGTGTTACGAAATCGACATCACACGACATTGGTCCAAACTACCGACCCGTTTACGCCGGACCAGAGCATTCCGCCCGACCCAAAACCCGTTCTCGTCCATCGACTTATAATTCTAATGAATTCATTTCTTCTATAATCGTTTTTCCGTTTGGCAAAAGTCGACGCTACCGCCGTCGGGACACGGTACAATTCTCGGACCATCCCAGAGCGTCTACCGGACCAATTATTAACGAACGCGTAATACGGCGGCCTGGTCGTCTCCTTCCTCCCCCGTTCTACCTTTCCCCGGGGGCGGGGAACAAATCGGCGCTTCCGTCCCGACCCTCCTCCGGGGAAACCGTGGAAAGCCGCGTCCGTTTCTTCTTCCGGTGACGCGCGCGCGAAAAGAGAGAGGAGATTTATCAATTAAAGTAAAAGAAGGGAGTCTTTTTTTACTTTAATCGATGGGGTGCGTAACAAAATTTTTCTTCCGTTTCCGCAGGAAAAGAGCGGGAGGCGAGGGAAGAGGCAGTATCCAGCGGTACGCCGGCGTCCTAACCTTATTTACCAGCGACGGGAGGGGAGAGGGGAGGACGAGGAGGGGAAGGAGGGGACGCGGCCACCCCCGCGGATTAGGTTTACCCACGGCGCGTCTTCCGGCGACGAGTGACGGGAGAGCGTCTCCGGGCTTCGGACCGACTCCGTGTTTTCTTTGGCGTTTTTTGACTGCGGGTTTTTTTTCGGGGGCGTCGAAGGTCGCTCGGTCGATCGATCTTCTCGCTCCGAGAAGAAACTTAAATCGCGCTTTTATCCAGATAAATGGAAGGCGATAAATTTTCCTCTCGTCCCAATTAACCGTCCTCCTCTCCTCCCCCGCCGCCGGACCCGACGCCAGAGTCCGCGGCCCGACCCTTCTTCCTCTCCGGGTCGGCCGGCGGGAGGAGAAGGAAGAGACACCCGTTTCCTCCTTTCGTTTCCGTTTCCGGTCCTTCGGGTGTCCGATTACGGGTCGACGCGCGCCGCCCTGACGAACGAGCGACAGGTGCGGGACGACGCGTCCGGTAGCGACCGCTCCCCGCCCCCGGAGAAGGACCGAGGGGAAAAGACCCCCAGACCCTTTCCGTATTTATTGAACTTCCGTCGGGGCGCGGGCGGTCGACCCCCGGCGTGGGACTCCCTCCAATTCTAGACGGCGTTCGGACGCGAGGGAACGCCGGGAGAAGTGAAAAAGCGTCCGAATCGTTTTCCGCCGGATCATCCGTACCCGTATGGATCGGACGCGGCTTCCTGCGGTTAATCGAACCCGGACCGTCTTTAAGTTAAGAGCGTCGACTTCCCTTCGGAGAGACGCTCGCACCGAGACTAAATAAACAGGCCCGAAGGTTCGGGTTCGTAACCTCGTCAGGAGTTTCCTGCGGAAATCCCGGGTCCGTCGGACGAAGTCCGAAGAGAAGGGGAGGCGCCGACCGCCTGCCCAGACCGGAGCGGAAGCGGCGGAGGGCCGAGTTTAAAGACTAAGGGAAGCGTGGGTAGAGGGGGAAGACGTTCGAGCGCAGAAGAAACGAGAATAGAAAACGCTGGAGAAATGGCACCGGGAAAGAAATTCCCGGAAAGTTTTTCCGGGGCCTTCTTCCCGTCTCCCGGCGTCCTAAAACTCTCCGCCAGTTAAGGGGGGAGTTTCCCGGGAAGAATCGACTGGGTCCACCGGACCGGGCGGCCGGCGACAAATCGGTGTATTTCTTCGTCCGGAGCGTCCGACGGCCATTTCTGAAGTTAGGCGAAAAGTAAATCTCGGAGGAGAACGTCTCCTCCTCTGGGGTGGAAATTTCCGGAGATTTTATTCCGGGGGGCCGACGTCACGATTCTTTCCCCGTTTCATCTGCGGGGAAAAGTAACTCCGGCCTTTATTATAAGTACCGCACTAGGTAGCCCGATAGTTGGATGGACGTTGACGCCCTTACCATTACAAGTTTTAAAAAAACAGTCTAATTCATACAACAAAAATTAACGCCGTAAGTAAAGGAACGAGACCGTACGACCGAGAAAAGAAAGTCTCGTTTGTTTGACAGAAGGTAACCGAACGATCTCTCGTTTATTCGTAGAAGAAAAATCGAAAGTCAAACCGTCCGAAAAAACGGATCCGTAAAAATTACATTTTGTCTCCCGACCGTCGACGGGAATCTCAGAGGAAGGGACAGACACCGCCACGGGCCGCCGGGCGCGAGTAGCGTAAGGTGGATTATAGAAGGATCGAAGGTAGGTAAAGAGTCCGCGGGGATTAGTCCCTCCTCGACGATTTAAATTAATTTGTCCGACTCGACACCGGTGGCAGATTACGTGCCACCCCGGGAGGAAGGTGGATTGAAATTCGTAACCGTCTATTCCGTAGGTTATAATTTATAATCTAGACCTGAGGTGGGCTGTGCGCTTCTTTAGTCGTTTAGCGTCGACGGATAAACATTAATCGTATTCGATGATTTCCGGAAAAGAAGTCGAGCCCTTCCATCGCCATTTTAATACGCCGTTCGGAAACATTCTTCACCCTTCGTCGTCGATTCCCACCCGACGAAAGTTCACCCATCCGGGGCCACTCTCCTCCCACAGCCAGTAACCATTATCTCCTCCGTTACCAAATAATTCCCCCTCCCCACCTCCGAATGCTTAATATATCGGGCCTTAGCCCCAAACTGGTTAACCGTGTTATTCGATTTTCCGTTTCGCCTTCTCGTTCCCCGGAAGCCTTTCTCCACCGCGAAAGAGACATCGTCCTTCTGTAAAAAAAATGTCGCCGTGGGTTTATCCGGGAGGAAACGACCGAAACCGGAGGGATTGCTCCCGGGAGGGAAATCGCCGCGTCGTTTTCGGGTTACTCACTCCCTCCAACTTAGATCGTTCCTCCATCCGTTTGGCACGCGACGCTTCCTCCCGCCTGGCGCCACCTCCCCCTCCTTTTTACCTTCCACGCTCCGTTCCGGGGAATTTCCGCCGGTGGAAAGGTCCCCACCCGACCGAGACACACAGAACGAAAGAGAAACCGACCAACTGGGCGCAGGAGGACAAAAAGAGCGGCCGGGGGGAGCCTTTTCCGAGTGGCCAAAGGCCTCCGGAAAGACCATTGGTATCGGCGGGACCTTTCCGAGTCCGGGAGTGGAACGAAAGACTTCTGGCGTGGGAAGTCGCGTCTTCTCTTCGACCTCCTTCCCGCATCAACGTCTATTTTTAATTCGGAATCGAGAAGAGAAGAAGGGCGGACGGGCCCCCGACCAAAGAGGTCGAAGCGCCCGGGAAGAAAAGAGTCCGGAAGAGATCCGAACCAAAAGAAGGCGCCAATTCCCGCGGGCGACGATGGCAACTGGTAAGAAAGGGAAGAGGCAGAAAGACTCAGCCGGGGGTTAAGAAAGACCGGGGCCCGACGCGGCTCCGTCCGAAGCGTGGGCGGAAGGAATCCGTTTATTCTTCCTTTCGTCTTTCGAATTTGGCCAAAATTTCCGGATTCCGCCCCTCTTCCGGTCCAGATCGTCCCCTTTATCCTCCCCGCCGAGAAAGAGACGAAGACGCGAAGGGAAGAGTTCATCCCCACAATTTGCAAAACGACGGATTTATTCCCGGCGGGGGCCGAGAGAAGTGCGGCTCGTCCCGGGAGAGAGAGGGAAGCGACCCACAGCGGCGACGACCCGGCCACCCGCCGAGACCGCGCGCCTACCCGACGCTTCCGGTCCGGATCCGGTCGTAGTGGCGATTCGGACCCCGAAAAGCGGTGGCCAGATTTCGGGTCCCGCCGTCGTCCGTCTGGACCAAGGAGGGGCCCGTCCGGCCGGGCCCGGGCAGAAGCTTCTGGAGTATCCCGGCAGGCGAAAGGGGATTGTTCCTCCGGGATCAGTCTCTCTTTCTTGAGGAACACTAGAGCGGTTATTCCGGCGTTCCCTACTGCGGAAGGCCCAAGGCCCGTCGATCAGGAACCGACATCGTCCCTCTTTCGTAAAATCTGCGAAAAAGCGTTTAGCAGGATTCCTTCCGGCGGAAGAGGCTTCGGGCTTTCTCTCACACCCTCGACGGCAACTTCTCGTCCCGCCTCCTCTCTTCCGTCGACTTTCTTTTTAACTACCACCGCCCACCACCCGTCAGCGTCTCTTCTGGTGCCCGCTCCCGCGCCTCTTCGGATCCGGATCAAAACCGGCGCGTGCCGCGGGTCGGTTCTGTTTACCGCCCGGCTGCTCGGATTGGAAAAGAAGAGGGAGTAACTGGCCCGCGGCCCCCTCCCCGGGGAAGGGATCGCCGATTCCCGTCGACGGGCCGGAAGGCCCTGAAATCGGTTCAGGACCTTCTTCCGATGTACGAGGGCCCACGGTCGTCGGTTCCGGTTCCGGTGCGTAGACGGGCCGGCCGCGGATCCGACGGACGCGGAGAACGCTGAAGAGAGGAGGGGAGAGAGCGCGAGTGTCTGCGCGCGTGGAGAGGGAAGGTTGCCAAAAATGCGGATCTATTTCGGTCCCGCGTCGGTGGCGAGCCTTCTATTGGTCGAGACGGGATCTGCCGGTGTGCGTAAGTTGGCCGCGGTCCCCCGAAATATTATTCGATCGCCAGCCGCGTCCGGCGAAGTAACGTCGAAGGGACTTCCGCGCCACGACCGTAATTCGACTCCCCGGACCTCGGTATCCCCGATCCCCCGGCGCGCGGTCCCCCGCACACGCGGTGTGGCCGGAGGGACGAGGCGAAGAGCCATGCCCAGAGCCTTCCTCATCACCAATCGGCGCTACGACGCCGACTTCGACTATCGACGTTCGCACGTGCCCACCGGTGAGTACCTTTCTTCTTCCTCTCGAATCCCCAGCGCTCGGCCCATCCGTTCCTCTCTCCTCTCCTTTTCTCGTCCCAGTCCTCTCCGCGGGCCGGCGACGGCGGAGAGAAACTCTACGGTCCCCTCGGTGCAATCCCACGCGTCGAAGCGGGCCTCCTTCTTCGATGGCCGCGACGGAAACGTTGTCGTCGGCGCGTGGCCTGGCCGGGTCCCCTGGCAAAAAACTGCGGGAGTTTTTTGCCTGGAAACGGCACGTGGAGAGAGGGTAATCGGACCCTTTCGGTGACACATTTATCGTCGTCCGGAGAGAAGCGTCTGTCGAGGAGGTCGGGGTCGACCCTCCGGCGTTAATCCCGGCGCGGAGTGGCGTTTCTCGTCTTCCGACGGGGGGAGCACGGCGCGTCTCTTCCCCCGGTGACGTGTGTGGCCCGGTGTGACGTTTCTTTTTTTCTTTCAGAGAACAGCCCCGAGAGAAGCGTCCGGACGGCGGAGGACCCGACGGACGGAGAGGCCAGCGACCCCCGACCGGCCCGACCCGACGGTCCCGGATCCCCGGCCGACACCACCCGCGCCCCTTCGCCGGGGCGCCGCCCGCCCCAGCCGGGGCCTCCCGGGGCCCGGTCGCTGGACTTCCCGCGCCCGGCGGTGGCGCGGGGCCAGGCGGCGGCGCTGCACCGGACGGTGCTAGCGGCGGTGGTGCGGCGGATGGCGTGCGAGGAGCGGGCGGCGCCCCCCCGGGAGGCGCACGCCTGTCCCGAGTGCGGCAAGCGCTACAGCACTTCCAGCAACCTGGCCAGACACAGGCAGACGCACCGCAGCGTGACGGACAAGAAGGCGCGCAAGTGTCCACACTGCGACAAGGTGTACGTCTCGGTGCCGGCCTACAGCATGCATGTCAGGACCCACGGTCGGGGCTGCCAGTGTCCTTACTGCGGAAAGTGCTTCAGTCGACCCTGGCTGCTGCAGGGCCACGTGCGCACCCACACCGGGGAGAAGCCCTTCGGCTGTCCCGTCTGCAACAAGGCCTTCGCCGACAAGAGCAACCTGCGGGCCCACATCCAGACGCATTCCAGCAGCAAGCCCTTCATCTGCCAGAGATGCGGAAAGGCCTTCGCCCTGAAGAGTTACCTCTACAAGCACGAGGAGTCGTCCTGCATGCGCCTGCACCGCCGACAGGCCGACCCGCGCGCCTAGCGGCGCCCGGTCGATTTCCTTTTCGTGGACCACGGAAGCGTCCGTCCCTTGCCGGGTCCGGCGGCGTTCCGAGGGACTTTTTCTCCTCCTCCGAAAATAGGTCCGGGCCCGGCTCTTCCCGGAATCTCTCATCCGCCTCTATTTATAGTCGGCCGCACGGCAGGTCACCGCCGCCCGGCGGCGCGGCACACGTCCGTCCTATTTATTTCGATAACTTATTTACGGCGGGTCCGTCCGACGAGAGAGACCTTCCGCTCCGCGGATTCCCGTAGGGCGGCGGGAAGGGCCCGGCACTTTATTTTTGTAAGCGTCTTCCGCCCGACGTATTTTTTTGTACTTTTTTATAACGAAGGACTCAGCGCGTCCAATTGTATTTCTTGTGTTTTTGTATTAATAAACCGAGTTTTGTACTTAATCCGTCTCCGTCTGCAAAGGAAAGACTTGGGCGGAACGTCCGTCCGTCGTCTGGGCTTTAAATAGAGAGATGCCCGAAATAAACGCGGGTCGACGAATCCTTCCCGGGGGAGGCCGAACCACCCGAACGAGAGGAGCGTCTCCCGGCCCGCTCCTCTCCTTCGGTTCGGCACGCGCCCGAGAAATACAACTCCGCCGGATGCGAGCAGCTATATTTATCCGGGACGGGCGCGTGGCCGAATCTTCCCCCCGCGGACGGGAAAGTGGCGGGCGGTGGGAGGCAGCGAGTGGCGACGTTCCCTCCTGGACCGCTTCCAGAGCTATAAAAATGCGACAGGTGTCGCCCCCTTCCGCTTTCCGTCGGGAGGAAGGTTTGCCCACTTTCTAATTCGGTCGGCGCCGGGAGAAGGTCGCGACCGACTTTTCTCTCGGGTGTCGGACTTTTCTCCGACTCCTTTCTTCCCTCCCGTTTGTCCGCATCCGCCGGCGGAGAGACGATGGCCAGACGACAACGCTTTTCTATTCCGGGAAAGAAGTCGCCCGCGGATGGACTTTAGAACGTAAATAGCGGAAAGGAAAGAACGCAGAAGAAGAAGGCGAGAGACGGGTGATTTCCGGAGGAGACGATGCGGCTGACGTCTTTCCGTCGTTTACCGGAAGAGTTCGGCACGAAACAGAGGAAACGATGCCAGACCGCGGGTTTCTTTCCGAGGGAATCCCAAAGGGTAACACTCTCCGGCATATTCCGTGTAAGCGGCTGAAAAAGGCGTAAACCGTCGTCTTCCTACCGCCGTATCCGGTGCGCGCGTACAGGGAGAGTTGGTTGTCCCAGCGGACGGCAGAAATATCCCCGGAGGATGTTCTCCGACGTCCTCCTTCCCTGGGCCAGTTCGGATCCCCGTAAACCGCGAGCGAGATGACGATCCCTTTAGCTCCGAGAAGCACCGACGATTTACACGGAAGGAGGAGGGTCGACGGGGTTTTGCCAGAAGAGAACGCCACCACCGGGTCTGACAAAGAAAAGTAAAAATAGAAAGACGCTCGGCGTTTCTCGCGCCCGACGGCCGTTTCCCTTCCGCTCCGACCACCGGGCGGCCGTTTTTTCGACGCGGGCAAACTTTCCCGGTCCTCCGCTTTTGGCCCTCTCCCCGTCTCGTGCTTTCGGGAGGTCGAGGGGAGGGAGAGGCCGGCGGATTATCCTTTCGCGGCTATTCCTCCGTGCAGAATACTTCGGGAAAGCCAAATCTCGTTCTCCTATACATCCCCCGCTGCCCGGGGAGAAGGGTAAAAAATGGAATTTTTACGGCCGCCGGATCCTGGTTCACCCGCGGGTAGAAAGCGTTATTCGATGCGTGACTACGCATGCGTTTTACTGTGCGTCCCGCGTCGACTCCAGGAAGGAAAAGAGTTTTATATGAAAATTTGGAATGGTAAGGGTGAAAAGCAAGGCAAAGAGGAGGCAGAGAGGGAGCTTACGATTATTGCTGGAGAAAATGGCTAAATTATTTGGAAGGCAGGGAATTCGAAATGCGCGTACGGTCCCTTCCAATTTATTAAATACGATATTCCTTTTTCTTTGTCCGGTGGCGTAAACGAACTTAAGGTTAAAGTACGTCGGACTCGGGTTTTTGTGAATTTATTTATTTAATCGTAAGAGAAACTTCTGGCTACGCCCACCCGTAAGATCTTTTCCGGTCGGTTCTCTCCCCTCCAGAGGTGCGTGTGATCGGCCAAAGCCCATTCATTTTTTTCGGTTGCCAGATGATTCTAAGTGGGCGACCGAAGTTAGACGAAATTTTCTCCTGTTGTTGAGTTAAGCCCGTGTTTCGCCTATCCCGCGAGCGCTGCATCGTCTGGATCTAAAGCTTCGATCATATCCTTAATCTTCTCCCAGTCTCCCCGTCTTCTTAACATTGGCCGGGGTTAACGGCTTGGCCTGGCATTTGCCTAAAAATGTCAACCATTATCTTCGAGAATACTTTCTTGCGTTTGTCGTAAAAAATTCTACTTTCTCGCCACCCCACCGCAATTCCTCTTCCACTGTGCCCAGCGCGAGGGAAAGGCAAGTAGCGCAACATTTTAGGATAGAGAACTTGCCGCTCTAGGCCCGCTTTTACCGCGTGGGGGGCTGCGTGGGTGGCAGCCGGGAGGACGTTTTCGTACGTTATTTGGTCCGGCGGAGAATTTTCGTGGCCCAATCGAAGTCTCGATACCGTCGAATGGTTTGTAGGCTGCGCATTTCGGCCTGCAATGAATGATTCCTTGCATCCCCTGTTTCCTTTATGAACGCCCGGATTATCTCTTTGTTCCCATTACCTTCCTAATACTGTACGCGACGTGGTCTAAGGCAGTGTAATTTTTTCCGGGCGTGGATTGTCCAGACACGGACACCTTTCGATAATTTTCTACAAATTTTCGGAATTCTCCAGTTTATAGAAAGAGATATCGGGCGCTGCCAAAGCCGATATCGGGTTATTCCAAAACCCACACCGCTGGCTTTCGGTTTGTTTGAAAATTTTCCTTTCGATACAAGACAGTATTTCAATTTGCCGAGTCGATCTGCGTCTTCCACCGGGATGCTTCTTCCTGCCTGTTTTTACGGTGTGGGTAGGTGCCGATCCGTTGTTACCGCTACATTGCAAATACCACACGAAAGAACTTCTGCCCGGGTGCCAAAGATGATTCCACCCAACTCCTTAACCCCGGCAGTTGGCAATTTCCAACTCGCTACTTTATTGCCGTCTTCTCCCTTCACTTTTCATTAGTTAACAATTAACTTGGCCGTGCTGGTTATTGCACTAAGGGGAGGAAAATTATTTTTGTAAATATTAAGGGCGCTTTTTACGTTTCGGAAGAACCCGTTTTCAGACATTTAAAAACGATAGTAATCATTTCAAGTTGCAAAAATAAAGGAATACGTAAATATTGAAAAAAAAAAGACTAATTTATGTAGAAAACGCGCCGTATGTTTCTACTTAATTACATAAACATCCTAGCTTTATTTATTAATTTAAATTAAAAGATTTTATTTTATGTTAGTAAAAGTAAGGTTAATTTTATAGGGGTAGCAACCGCCACGGTCCCCTAAGTTTTCTCGGGACACGAAAAAAATCCCCCCCCGTCTCCGCCACCCCGCTTGGACGGACGAAACTTGTCCGTCGGAAAGTGACCGCCGAAACTCGCCAGCCTGTGCGCATTTGAGGAAGTCGAACACAGCAGACATCCGGCGAGAAGTGTGGTAGAAATAAACAAATTCCCGAAGAAATAAATTTTTACTTGCCGAAACTTTTTCACATCAGAAATTTGTTTGGATTCTTAATTTCGTTAATAATAAAGTTTTATTTTTATAAATGTTTCGTCGCGTCTACCAATTTTATGTTCAAGAGTTTATTTATTACAATATAAAATATATGTACTGTACAGTACAATTAAGTTACACGTACTCTACCTGAGCGGTATCGTAGCGCGTGCTTTATTCAATTTACTCTGTGGAAAAAGTCTAGCAACGATCTGCCTAACTTTCCCGGCTGTTGTGAAATTTTATTTAAAAAAATAACTTTTTTATTAAGAGTAAGTAAAATTACTTGTGGCGCCATCTGTTACGAGATTTTGTTATAAAAGATTTTTATATTTTTAATTGCTATAAAATGGCAAAAAGTTTATTTTTAAGGATAGTGATCGATTTTATAAAAAAACGTAAATTCGATACCCGCGTAATAATAATGTTATGATAATTGTCGGATAATGTTTAATAATGTCTATCGTCTTCATAATCGGATTTTTCGGCCTGGTCAAATCGGATAAACGCACTATAAGACACCGTGGGATGTCAGAAACGAATTAGTGCATTACGAACAGAATAAAATGAATTGGAAATCAGAAAACGTCTTTCGTACCGAACCTTCATCGTGTATGCAAAGGCTATTCGATTCTATAAAGGAACAACGAGACGATGAAGAATTACAACTGCCGAAAATTCGCAAGAAGGGCGAAGGTAAGTCAGTAAGCAAGATATAAGTATTAGTAAACAAAACGCTGATTTTCAAACCAGTATCTGTGAAGATTCTAATTAATATTAAAGTGAGACACGTTTAAGTGTTTTCGAAGAACCTGCTGACGAATTTATTGACAAATATAATATCTTAGACTTTTTAAAATGTCATATTTTTGTCCTAATGTTAACGCTAAGAAACTACCATTACAGACGAATATCAAACGATAATTTGCCAACCAATCCAATTTCGAGAAAATCGGACCAAATATTTAAACTCGATATTCTTGTAAACAGCTTAAATCACATTTTGTCCTCACTGGTAACCTCGTATTACGTAATTTCTCTATTCGAATGCCACCATAACGCTGGTCCGATAGAAAAAAGGAAAGAAGTTGAAGTAATTCCATCAAAAGTAATGGATGACCTCGAAGAGAGAATGGTCAATGACTACTAATTAATACTGGTCTAGTGTTAATACTTGAAAAGTGATCCTTGTAGACACGTTGTGATGGTCCTGTTTCTGATCGAAGTTGTTGATCTTAACGTCCGAAAGACTTGATATAAGACTTGTTTAAATAAAAAATAAAAATATCTTGTAAAAATGCTAGAACAATTGCTTTTATGTAGTAATAAACTGCAAAGTGTAGTGATATTTTTGCAACAGATTCTGTAAACTAAGTAGGAAATATCTTGTAAATATTGCGTTTATAGAAAAATTATTGGAATGCAATTTTTAAAAATTGTAGACATATAAACTCCCACTGCTGTCCGTCTGTCTGCCCTTCCTTAATCTCGAGAAAAGAGTTAGATTCGAGATCAAATATGGAAAGAATAGGGGGAAAAGGCCCTATTAACTATATACGAACTTCCGGTTTAAACGGGAAGTTACGCTACTTCGATTCAAAATTTCCCCCCGAACGAAGTTAGATAGATAACTGGCGCGACTGTATTGCTAACAGGAAAAATATGCCATACAGGGCCACGACATCATTAAAAGAATTAAGAATATTGTAACGAAAACTTGCAGTCCGGTATTAGGTTAGAATTAGTTTGGTTTATTTGGTTACGATAACGTCACACGCGAGCGAGCTGCCTCCCTGGAAGACTTTTATGGGAAGCTGAACCTTATTTAGGTGAAGAAAACCCGGAAAACTCCACGTGGTCAGCCACGAAACCACGACTACCAGAGTTCGGTGGTTTTATTCACTGGAAAGAGTTTATTAGAATTAAGAAAGTACCGTTCAGAAATGAAAAATTCCGAGTCGTTAGATGTGGAAAATTAAATACTTAGACTTTTCACAGGGTAACGCTTTCCATTGCACTCAAGAAAGTGCTATATGCAACCTGTCGCAGTAATTATATAGCGCGTCTATTTCGCTCTATATCATTGTTGCAGTAATTGCGAATATAATATTTACATTTTTAAAATTTATGTCCTTTTTGTAAGAATTATATTTAGTTTATTATTTTCTTAATTTCTTACCACTAGAACGTTCTGGCGCTACGTGTAAAGGCAGCAAATCTAATGTAGCTAGAAATTTATTTATTGATTTATTATAAATTGATTTATTGAAATCGATTCGATAGTTTTGGGTGGGACGTACGACTTTATCTAAGTCAGAAGAATTTGAATATAACTGCGGAGTTTCGGGGCAATTGATCAAACGGCCTAGGAGTATATAGCGAACAAATAACCATCCCCATTTATATATATAGATTTATCCAAACAAA